TGGCCCTTTACAGAAACAGGTGGCTGGTCCCTGGGTTAGACAGTAAGCTTCATGAATATAACCATGGGTTCACGAGTGCCCCAGCACTAAGCCCAGTACCTGGTAGCATTCAATAAATATTTTTTGAGTGACAGAATAATGGAATAATTAAATGTATGGATTGTGGCTTCATCTTACTTGTGTTTGAGCCCACGTTGCCCACCCTCCTCAGAGTTCTGAGGTTCTGGATCACTCTGGTACACAGAAAGAGGCAGTTCTCAAATGTTGTGGCCTCGCTTCCTCTTACACTCCTAAAAAAATCTGAGGACCCCCCAGAAAGCTTTTGCATGTGTGTTTTATCTATGGACATTTACTATATTAGAAATTAAAACAGAAATTTGAAAATCACTTATTAATTCATTTACAAATAGCAATAAGAAATCCATTCTTGCTAACATACATAACACATTTCTATAAAAAAAATAACAATTTCCCCAAAAACAGTTCAGTGAAAAGAGTGCATTGTTTATACATTTTGCAAATATTATTAATGCCTGGCCCAAGAGAAGGCAGCTGGACCTTTTCAGTTCTTCAGCATTTAATCTGTGGCAAATTTGTTATTTTGTTTGAAGTGGATGAAGGAAACCCAGTCTCACACAGATATGAAGCAGGAAAATGGAGAGGTATTTTAATACCATTTTCAGAGAATAGTGGGTATTCTGCTTTGATACTATGCCAAAATTCAACAGTTGGTAGTTTCTTAAAGGTTAATGGCATCATGGAATCTGAAATCATATCAATGAGTAGTTCGCTCTCCCTTGCATTGAAATCCAGTGAGTGGGTATTTCACTCTTGGAGTATAATTATTAAAGAGGTTACAAATGCAATGTGGTTTAATTCTTTCTTTTCCATTCAGGAAATTCCCCAGATCCTTGGGGAAATGAGAGGTGTTTCTGGACATTGTTCATCCAGACTGAGCAGGATGTGAAAGGGGATCCAAAGTTGTGCACACATGCCGCTCCCCAGTCAGTCACGGGCTTTGTTACTGTTTTCATTAATCTGGATTCCCAAACACAATCTCAGTAGGGTGGATTTCTCCAGCCCCTGTCTTGGGGAACTTCTCTTTTAAAATTAAATCATCAGGCTTGTTTCAACTCTCTCTCCCTCTTTTTTTAAGTTGATGTGAAACATCCATAAACTGAAATTAGGTTAGCATTGGTGCCAGGTTGGTTGACAAGTACAAAGGGTATTAACTTCTTGGCTTCAGGGCACAAGATAATTGGATGAAGGGAAAGTTAGGAAAAGATGCTTCTCTTCTCCAACATGACATAATGCTCCACGAACAGCTAGGAGCATTCACGTTAATTCGTAAAAGTTTTATATGGAACCAGCAGCAAGACATTACATGATTTAAAAATATAGCCACAGTCATAAGCTGTAATGCATTCAGACTTGTTTTCTTGATTTTGAGATGTTAATCCTGTGGGATTAAGCTGTCAACTATTGCTGTCTTATATTTTAAACAGCACAGAGAGCCCAAGAATAGTAAATATGCAGAGAGAAAAAGAAGACTAGGAAAAATGGTGACAGTAGTTACCTCTGGGTGATGGGATTTTGAGTGTTTTTGTTTGTTTGTTTTTTCCTCCTTGTCCTTTTTAAACATTCATTACAACAAGCATTTATTGATTATTATGTGTCATATGTTATATTGAGTGAAGGACTTAGAGCAGAGAACGAAGCTGATTCAGACCTTGCTCAGTTAGATCTTCTAAATAGGTCAGCTTTCATATCCTATATAATAAAAAGCTAATATGCAAATCGACCAAACAGCAGAACGACCGGTCGCTATGATGTGCACTTACCACCAAGGGGCAAACACTCAATGCAGGAGCTGCCCCCTGGTGGTCAGTGTGCTCCCACAGGGGGAGTGCCGCTCAGCTAGAAGCTGGGCTCACAGCTGGCGAGTGCAGCGGCAGTGGTAGGAGCCTCTCCTGCATCTGCGGAAGCACTAAGGATATCTGACTGACGGCTTAGCCCACTCCCCCCATCAGTCGGACATCCCCCGAGGGCTCCCAGACTATGAGAGGGTGCAGGCCAGGCTGAGGGGACCCCCCCCCCCCCCCCCCCGTCCAGGGCATGAATTTCATGCACTAGGCCTCTAGTATCCTATAATAAGTGTGAAATCTTTCTATCATGAGGTAAATATAGTACGTATTATAAACCAAAATGAATTGAAAAAACACAGTGGCTGTTTTTTCTGTGTTTTTGGTGGAGGAGGGTTTATGGGTTTTTGGTTGTTTTTCCCACAAGTACCATTTGGAGACTGTTTCATTATTCAGTTAACAACCTAAATTGCACCCAGGAAGTCTCTGCAATCGGTTTGACGCCGAATCAATTGCAGGGGTCCTCAAACTTTTTAAACAGGGGTCCAGTTCACTTTCCCTCAGACCGTTGGAGGGCCGGACTATAGTTTAAAAAAAAAACTAGTCGGCTGCTAAGCAACAGGCAGCGGCGGCAAAAACACCCGGCGGGCCGGATAAATGTTTTCGGCGGGCCACATGTGGCCCGCGGGCCATAGTTTGAGGACCCCTGAATTAAAGCCTTGCTGTTGGGAAGAGGATGTAGGAGCCATTTCTTGAGCTATGCTTTTAGTGGTGCTTTTGAGATGTGAAGATACTCTCTCCAAAGGATCTCAACCGTAAGTTGGAGCCACGAAAGCCGAATGTAGCACTCAGACGGACCCTCCACTCTTTGCTGCTAGTTAAGGTTCATGGCTCACCTAGGAGGCAGATCAAAGCTGAATGACAGTGGAGCTTGAAAATTGGCTCATGTCCATGGCCTGAGCAGCTTGGAAAGCCCACATCTTCTATTCAGGGCTCTTACGGAAACATCTGGAAATAAACTTGAAACTTGATGATGAAAGAAAACTCTTTTCCAAAAGGACTCTTATTTCTCATGTGTGACTATTTCTTGACTACTAAAAGATAATGGAATTATTACGGGATTCGGGTTTGTGTTTGATCCCTGGTAGGAAAATAGAAAAATAGTGGCTGGTATAATGAGCAATTCTTCCAGTGAATCATTTTTGACAACCAGTCTCTTTTCTATTTTTATAAATATATAATTCCCAAGGTTTTGCAGAGACATTTGACTTTATAGGAAGTCTCAGTATGGCCAAGTGTGACATAATATATTTGTGAGAGAAAAATCATGACTAATTACAAAAGCAGCTCACTGACTAGTCAGACAGAAAAGAGCTGGAAGCCGCGGCCAGCTCCCTGCAAAGACTTTCTGTGAAACTGTGACTCCTGAGCTGGCCTTCCCTGAAGTTTCTACTTGTAAGAAATTATGGAGCTCAGTGGAACATAAAGATCAAGTGGAGGTTGAAAAGATGCAAAGTAGGCAATGAATTTAATGGATTCTCTAGAACAGGGTGGGGGATGTCTGCCCCACGGGCCATTATAAGGTCCTCAAAATCATTTGGTCTGACCCTACCAAGGCATTGTGGTGAGTTAATTAAACGTTTAACCAAACATAACATTCTAATTTTTAAATTGATAATTTCGTATGGCCCACAAATTATGTTGTAAACATCCAAATGGTCCTCAGCAGGAAAAAAAGGTTCCCCACCCCTGCTCTAGAACAACTGTATGAGGTTAGATTTTTAACAATAGGATTCATTTATCTACAATGAAAGAGGCTGGAGGGGGAGTGGATAGTGTTTAAAATCTTGCTGCTGTATAAGTTGAGCATGGCCAGAAAAATGAGGGGTCACTCCTCGAAGGCTGAGAGAGATATTGAAGACACAAAAGAAAATACAATATCCAACAGCTATTAACATTATGGAATTAATTATTTCCAGTGGAAGTGGAACATATAGAGGAGATGGCTGAAAGGATCTTCATGATTTCTTACTAAGAGAGGCAAATCGGCTGAGGAGAACTGTGATACTGCACACCTGTTGGTAGTGTTGATTACCTGGAACATGACCTGAGAAACAGGCTAAGCACCAAGAGAGAGCGTGTGTGTGTGTGTGTGTGTGTGTGTGTGTGTGTGTACATGTGCTCATGCATACACACATGCATAGAGGTGCTCCAGAGATGGCTACCAAAATGTTACTTTCATACTTGCATTAGCAATAAAAATAAAATATAAAATAGCAATAAAATAATAATTTTTTTCTGGATTTGTGAATCCACAAGGAATTATGAAGATAAAAGAGGATTTGTTTCGGGTATTTTGCGCAACTTTTTTGGGAAGGGCAACATGCACAATTCTTCTCCTATATCAACTAGAATAGCTTTCCCAGTGAACCCTGGATTGACTTCAAGATAGCATTTCTTGGGCTGTTTCATTCTTAGCTCAAACATCAACTGTTGGACAAGATGACTCATTTTATACACTTGCATTCAGCACAGCCTCTTGCTTTCATACCTTCCCTCCCTGTAGTATTTTCTCTCCTTTTAAAATATAAGTCAGAACTTTTCTCCAGTGGTTTCCCATCTCATTTGTAATAAAATTGGGAATCATCACAGTGACCTGTGAGGCCCTACCTGACTGTCTGCTCCCACCGACCTCCCTTTGCCCCACTTTGCTCCCACCACCCAGGCCTCTTTGCTGTATCATAGACCCATCTGCACACCGCCCTAAACTCTTCCCAGGTGTCTGCTCAAATGTTATCCCATCCAAAAGGTTATCCCTGACTTTGCTTTCTAAATATCACTCACCCCTTCCCTTCTTCTGTCACTCTCTGCCTTCTTGCATCCAGTTTCAGCTTTCTCCATAGCACTTATCACCACCTGACATATATTATTTTGTATATTTTATAGTGACTCTCTGCTACTAAAATTGTAATCTCTAAATGTAAACACTAAAATGGAATCTTAGCCCTTTTGTCATTACTGTGGCCATACAACCTAGGGCAGTACCTGACAGTGTAGACACTCAATAAAATGTGTCGAAGGAATGAATTCCTGTTTCATTTCTCCATTTTGTGGTTTTTTTTTCATTTTTCCTTGCAGAGAAGTTGTTACATTCAACCATTTCCTCGAAGCAGCAGCTGAGAAGGAGGTTCAAGGGAAAGCTCGGCTCCAGGACTTTATTGAGAACCTGTTGCAGCGGGTGGAACTGGCGGAAAAGCAGTTGGAGTACTATCAGAGCCAGCAGGCCTCAGGCTTCTGCCGGGACATCAGTGAGCACGTGGTAAGTGTGGTAAGTCGTGCAGGTCCAGCCAGAGTGTGAGGTCCTAGGTTTGGTGAGATCCGGTTAAGGACAGAGGAAAAGGGAGCTGGGAAATGACTTATAGGTATTCTCTAGACATCATTTGAGAGTACTGCCCGGCCATGCCTGTGTTATGGAATTGATACAGGTGAACCCCAGGCACCCGGAAGTAAGCTGAATTCTTGTGCACAGTCTCCAGTTCTTCACCCTCCAACTCCATGCCACTCTGAGTTGGTAGAAGTGTTTTTTGTTTTTTTTAAATATATTTTATTGATTTTTTTTACAGAGAGGAAGGGAGAGGGATAGAGAGTTAGAAACATCGATGAGAGGGAAACATGGATCAGCTGCCTCCTGCACACCCCCTACTGGGGATGTGCCCGAGACCAAGGTACATGCCCTTGACCAGAATCGAACCTGAGACTCTTCAGTCCCCAGGCCGACGCTCTATCCACTGAGCCAAACCGGTCAGGGTGGTAGAAGTGTTTTTATGCTTGTAGAATAAGAGACCCTCCAAAGAAACAGTTTGTCTTCTTGGGCTTTTAAATCTTCTGTAAAAATGAAGCAGTTAGACTAGATGCTCTATAAGATCTTTTGGCCTCTTAAATTCTCTGCTCATCACCTGACTTTGGTGGTTAGGAATTCTAAAATTGAAGTGTTGCATGAATATTTTCAATCTGCAGGCTTTTAAGTAACCCAGGGCTAAGAAATGTTAAAATTCTATGCTAAGCCAGGAGGATATTAGAAATAAAACAGTGGAAGGCCAGGAGGAAGCAAGGAAGCCCATTAGTTCTCTCTGTTATTTATATTTCTGTGCCCACTTCCTCTGCTCAGTTTATTTTTCCAGCTTGAAAATTGAACACCTTTTATAAGAAGTAGCCAGTCATTATTTCTTGTCATGCTATACCATGTGACCCACAGTTGAACAGCTCTGTAGTCAGATGTGTATATATAAAATTACATGTATATGTGCATGCACACACAACATATATACATATACACACACATAAACATATACACGTATATACACATGCATACATACATATAAAGAAACATGATAGGAAATTAATGAATATTTATGTCCATGCCCTTTCTGTCCCAAATATGAGTGACATCATCTGCCTTCATCAGACTTGATTTACCAAGGGAAGACTTGATTAATTCAAATGAAGTGCAGCTCAGAGTATAACAGGGGATTTGGATGTGGGAGCTGCTTGTGAGTAGAGCATGATCGGGCTGTTGGGAGGTGAACTCTCACTAGTGGAGGGAGTGTATTATCTCTCTGAGAAGACCAAGAGTGAGGTGTTTGATTTATGAAAGGATTTAGCAGATGTAGGCTCCCCTGTGCTCATGTGTAATCCTCTAACTCTGCTTTGAACCATAATGTACCACATTATGAGACAGTCTGCAGACCCTGAGACATGCCTCCTTTTTACTTAGTCTACTTCATCATCATCATAGACACTCACCTATGAAATTAGGATTCATGTCTTTGATATAATGAAAGGGCTGGTTCCGGCCTCCCAGGGTATCTGTGGCTCTAGAGACACAGAGGAACTTGGGTGCTTTTAGCAGGAGAAGCTTTGGATCGTGTCTTTATTACCCTCTGGCCCAGCTTAGTGAAGGTCCAGAGCATCAAGAGGCCAGGCTTCTGGAGCCTCAGGCCCACCCACCAAGGAGAGCTCCTAGCCCCAGTGTACCCCAGGATCAGCAGAACATTCTGACCTTCTCCCCCCACACATCAGCCACTTCTTTCAGAACAGCTGGGAATACCATGCCCAGCCTGGCCTGGCTCCCACCATCTCAGCTAAGGCTACACATAAAAAACAGTGTCAATCCTCTTTATCTCCTCTTCCATCCACCCCAGTTCTCTTCCTCCACTCTTTCCTCTATTTCTCATGACCACCTCCAGATAGCAGTGACATTTCTAAGTTGGTGTATAAATTAATTCTTTCTAAGGTGTCTTCTAGCTCTAAGATTCTTTGGTGCTCTAGAAAAATCTCCTCCCGTTGCCCCCTCACTTTTCGTGCCTTTTCTAAAATAATGTTTCAGCATCTGTTTCTTTCCCTTAATCCCCTTGAGCATTTTTGTTCTTTTTCACCTGGCTGGTTTCTAAAAGTGTACTATGCTTACTCAGATATTTTGTCTTCATGCTCTGAAAAATGCTGTCGAATTAGACACAAAGTGACCCAGTATCCCATCTGCCAAAATCACGGACAGAACTGCTCACACAGAAGGTCATGAAACAGCTTGGATAATCTTATTTTAAGTGTTGCATTTATTTCCTGCAGGCTGCTAAATTAGGACTAGCAGTAATTCATTTAACACTTGTTTATTGGGGCTGCCGCAGCGCTTACTGAGTGCTGAGGAAACTGCTGTGAATGAGATGGAAGAGGTCCCTGCTCTCAGTGAGGAGGGGCTCACAATGAGCAAGTAAGCAAATAACGAAGATCATTTTGAAAGCGATAACCACTAATCAAGAAAAAAGTGAGATGATACGTTTAAGATGTCTACTTCAGTGAAACCCTTTCAGGAAAAGCCTTGCTGAGGAGGCAGTTTTGCACTGTGGCCTGAATAACGAGGAGCCAGCCCTGAAAATACGCAAGTGGAATGTTCTAGGCAAGGGAATAGGAATTGCCTTAGGAGGGAACAAGCTTGGTACCTTTGAGTGGTAGGAGATGAAGTCAGAGAGTTGGGAAGGATCCAGGTCATGCTGGGCCTTGTAGGTCACGTAAGGAGTTTGGGTCTATTCCAGATCACAGAGGGAAGCCATTGAAAGGTTTGAAGTTGGAGGTAACCTGGGTTTTAGCAGAAAGTCTGGTGCTCTCTGAGGAAATGAATGGAGGAGCGCAGGAAGGAAAGATGTGTTGGAAGGCTGTTATTGTGAGGCAGGGGAGAGGAGGTGGCAGTGTGGATAGAGTGGAGGTAAAGAGAAGTGATGGGTATAGAATGTGTTCTGGGAGTAGAATGGATAAGACCACTTGGCCTTGCTGAAGGATTGGATTTATCGGGTGAGGAAAAGAGGAATCAAGAATGAATCTGAGGTTTTGGTCTGAGCAATTGAGTGTGCAGGACTGCCTGAGGTTCTAGGGGCCAGAAGGAACAGTGGCCTCTTGTGTTCACGGGGAGGAGAGCATATGAAAGTCCACAGTGTGTGATAACTGGTCCCACCTTCACCCCAAACCTCATAATCTGTAGGATCACAGGAGAAATTCTGATCCAGCCATGGGTTCCACTTAACTTTTTGTGTCTACATTCCCTTGCTTGTATACTTATGTATACAAACACACACTTTTTAGGAAGGCCGTGCAGAGTGAAGTTTGAAGTTCAGTTCTAACACTGGTAAAACATTGAGGCTTTAACCAACTACTTAACTTTTCCATATCTGAAAAATGGGGATTATAAGGCTTACCTCTTAGGGTTGTTTTGAGGGTTAATTGTGTTTGTTGCATGGTGAGTATTTTACCCAGGGTGTGATGTATAGACATGCACAATTTATGATACCATATATGATGCTCATCTTTACCTATCTTTATTTATGCATTTCCTTTTCTGTAATGCACAGTAAATTATTCCTATTTCCTGAGGTCCCAGCAGGGTCCATTAGTTACATCCATAAATGCTGAGATTGTGGTTCTTAAAATGTTTTGGAAGTCAGGGACTCCTTTGAACATTTGAAAACACTGTTGATCTTTTCCCCAGAAAGGGAAGCAGGGAAGCATATACATACATTTCTCTCTCTCTCTCTCTCTCTCTCTCTCTCTCTCTCTCTCATAAAATCCCAAAGGGTCTTGTGTATACATATAAGCAGTACATATACAAACTATATGTATACATCTATACATCCATACAGTAAAGTGAAAAAATTATTTTTTTGTTATATTTTGGAGCCATCTGGCCCACCTTCTTTGTATGTTGCATAATCTCACAACTCTCTTGCAAGGAAGGTGCCTTTTTCTGTTCATATTTACTAACCTCATGCCAAAGCCAGCCAGTGTGAACAGGGTCAACAAGAAGGCTGACTTTTGATTGTCAAAAGGCAGAAGGCAACCTTCTTGGGGACATGACCCTCAAAAGTTAAGAAAACTTCTTTCTGATTTGCTCCTGACTACAGCTCAAGCTGCAGACAGAAGAATCTTATGCTGAGCCTCGCTTCTCAGGTTTAGTCTAGCAGGGGGCACGTGTCTTGGCCACATGGGGCCCTACATTTTTTTGCCATTCTCATCTTCTGCTTGTCTTCCTACCACTTCTTTAGTGACGAAGATCAGCAACAGAAGATTTGGAATACACTGGGTTGGCCTGTAAAATGGATGGTGACATCTGGATCACAAAATGATAATTATCAATTTATTCTGAAAATGATATTCCTAGCATGGTCACAAACGCGCATGAAGATATTTTAATGGGAATGGGAAATAATTTCAAGGATAGATGGCCTCAGGGACAATCGTGGAGTTGTTGGTCTTCATATCCTCTCATTTTAGAAATTACGTATTTTAGGCAATAAACATTTTATGCCAATTTTCCCCTCAGTTGAGACACTGTGACCAACCACAGCTGTAGTAAATTAGCTGCAAATGCAGTCTGAATCAACCAAGAAATAATGGTACATCATTCCAATTTTTAAAAACATGTTTCTTCAAATGTTGCTCTGTTGGGGGACTCTTTGGCTTGTTGAAGTTTTTTAGTTCTGCTGATATTGGCTTCTTGGAAATCTCAGAACAGGGAGCCAGAGGGGATCCCTGAGTGAGCGGAGGCTGAGCGTGAGAGGTGCCAGCTCATTGCTGTGGCGGATGGCACCGTGGGCAGTGCTGCCCATAATTCCTGGTTCCTTAGTGGGAATACCGTTTCTTTAAAATCTAAGCAAGATTTTATAAACCAAATTCAATCTTCAAGTTAAGTAATGTCTTTTCTTATTTGTTTTCCTTTAGCTTACAGATAGCTCTTCAAATAGGAAGCCCAAATGCCTGTATGTATATCTTTTTATACTTTGGCCATATGATAATGTTTGCACGTTTTCCTGTTGCATTTTATGTGGCATCTATAATATAAATGGATTTGAGGGTCTCAGGTAAAAATTCACCAGCTTATGTACTTAACTTTCTAAAATGTGAGTGTGACTTTTATTTTTTATTTACTTTTTTATTTTTTTGTTAATCGTCACCCCAAAATATTTTTTCCATTGATTTTTAGAGAGAGTGGGGGTGGGTGGAGAGAAACATCAATGTGAGAGAGACACATTAATTGGTTACCTCCCACACATGCTCTGACCATGGCCAGGAAGCGAACCTGCAACCCAGGCACATGCCCTTGCCCAGGAATCAAATCCAAGACTTTTGGTGACATCTAGATGTCATACTCTAACCACTGAGCACACCAGCCAGGGCTTATGTGACGTTTAGCTATGCTAGTTGTCTAGTAGTCTATGGCAGTACGATAGTACTATAGGAGTATTTATATAGTGTTATATAGTATAATTTTCTCTTATTACGCTATAGTATAGTCATAATAGCTCTACAGTACTATTAATGAAGTATGTGTACTGTATTATATATATGCACTTATACCATGAGTCACATACTTTATAATAACTGTACTGCAGATTTGTCTGAGTCCCCTAGTGGTTACTTAAAGATTCATGAGATAAGGATTCTGCTCCCACCTTCTCTATAGACCAACTGTATACATTATCCTGAGTAGTCATTTAAATTTCTGTTCCTCAGTGTTTGTCACTGATAAATAGGACTAGCAATATGTCGCTGCAGATTCACAATCACGAATTCCTTTCATGAAGGTCACCAGAATTGTTGGAAAGAAAAAAACCAATATATGTCATTTGTTTTACTGGCAGCATTATCACTGCTCTAGCATGCAGGAGTGATTGTGCTGTAGGTAGCTTTCATTCTTTTAAGGTTTTTAAAGAAATCTTTCTGCTCATCTCCCTCCTCCCACCCGACCATCTGTAGAAGCCGAGGACACCCACATGCAGTGTGTAACCACCCTGATCTCAAGACTCATTTTCATCCAAAGGGAAGGAGCTACCTGAGAAAAGCCAAGGATGAGAGGGCCAGCATGCAGCCTGCTAAGTCCATTCACGACCAGGCCGAAACCCCAAGAGAACTCTGCAGACCGCTGAAGAAAGGGGAGCCTCTGGGATTAAGTCGGAAAGGCAACATCAGGCCCAAAATGGCCAAGAAAAAGCCAACAGCGCTCGTGAACATCATCTAAAAGGGTGGGTGGCCTGGACCGTCCTCCTGGGCTTTGGGGAATGTTGTTCTAGGGGCCAACAATAATGTCCTTTTGACACATCCCATAGTAAGACACAATGGGAAAGCAAAGGGCTAACACCTTTACTTCCTGTCTGTGCAAGCACGTGGATTAACCAGAATTTAACAAACGGGCATCTCGGGGAACCAGAATTTTATTACAGGCTCCTTGTAGAAGCAAGAGGCAAATTGCAGAAATAATTTTAAAACAGGAAGCAGTCTTTCTCAAAAGTTTAGTAAAACAAAGCTCCATCTTCTAAAATAGTTAGCCCAGTCTTCAGTACTTTCTGCATCTGGAGTTCTATGCAGTGCTGATTGGCTCAGACCCAAGGCCACACAAGATGTCAGGTGCTGAAAAAGATTCATCTATACCCCCTGCTCAAAATTGTGAGATGAGGAACGGGAATATAAATTCTCTTAATAGCAGTGAAAAACAAAACTATTTTTGTTTGTTTTTAACCTTCCCCTCAATTAGTTTGAAAGCCTCCAAAATACGAATTTCTGTTTCCCAGTGTATTCTGGTTAATCAGGACATTGGCATATGGGTTGCTACAGGGACTCCTCTATTCAACTTCAGTTCTCATTTGGATGGACTGTTTTCCAGCTTGTTTATTTGATTCAGGTTTTTTGTTTCCCCGGATGCAAGTTTGTTGAGACTTTGGTGCACCTCTGCTGTCTTCTTTGGCTGGGTGTTCTGCACCCTAACACCATGCTCCAGCCTCTATCTTAACAGCTGTCTCTATCGCTGTGGTTGCAGGAGAACATAAAACACATCACGGGCTCAGGGTCTGAATGGTTGGACGTCAACGAATTGCACGTGCAGTGCGTTGTGAGCCATCCTGGAGACACGCAGCCCTTCCCCAAGGCCTTCCCCTGGCAATGTCCACGGCCTCTCTGTGAGCTGCAGGCATGGCTTTCTCCTTGCTGGCCTACCTTGTCCACCTCCTGCTGCTTCTGTGCCCTTTCAGGATTAAAATATATGATGTTACCTTTCAGCCAGCTGTCTGCACTGCTTCCTAAAGTAGCTTCTGAAATAAACAGTACATGTGGGATCTGGAATCTGAGACTGTCCTCCTCTCCTGCCCTAAAATGGCCTTTATTTCCAAAAGACCCATCTGTTCAGAACCTCCTGCTTTATGATTTTCTTCAAGAATGAATTTTCATGTTTTTTAAACTTAGTGTTATCATCAGATCTCCTGCAGAGTTTACAAGTGCTGACATCCTTCCAGAAGTAAGAATAATTATGTCCACAAATAGATACATATATATATATAACATATAAAATATATATGTCAAGTATATTAATTTATTTTTAAATACTCATGGAAAAGGTGTGTGTTTGTGATGGGTGGTTTTTAAACAATGTATGCTTATGTAAATTGAATTCTCTCATTTTAAAAATTAAAACTGTAACCTAATTAACATTAGTAGAATTATTGTTGTTATTACAATAAGCATCAGATTAGCAGTGCATTAAAAATAGGTAATTAAGCAATCACTTAAAATGACAGTAAGTTGAAAAGTGTAACTTATCATTATATAAACATTTTTAACCTGTTACAGTGAAAATGTTGATTTTTGAATCTTGGCTTTGACTTTTGACTCATGGGTGTGGGCAATTCATGTGGTGTATAGGCAACTATCAAGTGGAAGAAAACATTGCTGTGAATATCACTGTTCTGGCTAACATTGTAAAAATTGTAATAGTATATGATTAATTTAGAGAATTAATCTTTCCCAAGATTACTTATTATTGGTATTTATACCATGATTTCACTTTAGCCTTTTACATACTAAAAAATTGACTTGTTGATTGTATTGCATGCTAATTGTCCCCGTAACATGTGTGCAATCACAGCTTGTTTTTAAAGGTGGTATAACCAGACTTGTTTTTCTCATTTTATTTAGTTAAAACACATTTTCAAAGTCCATTTAACATGCTAGAGGGCAAGCTCTCTTTGACTGTGGTACCCAGTGATCTCCAGAAAGCACCATAACGGCATATCTACTCTATGTACATTACACAAGACAAATGATTTTAAGATTTATTATATTACAAACCAATTTTTTAAAATTTCAACTAAAGTCTGACCCTCACACAAGAAATGCATTAGACACATAACTTTGCTATGGAACGTGGAAGCTGGCTCACTCCGAAGGGTATCCCACTTACATGCCATGGCCTGAGCCGTGTGCCATGTCTCACTTGGGTCTTATTTAAAAAAAAATTTTTTGTCCACATGGGAAGCCAACCTTAGAGTTTCTCTTTGGAAGAAAAACCAAAGTTTCTGGGAAAACATGTTCAAGGTTAAACTGAAAAATGGATCTAATTTGTTTTGTACCGAAACAAAATCTGTATTTGAATCGTTCTTTCATTCTTCCCCACCCCTCCCCCCAAACTAGGTTACAGATTCTTAACTACAAAATTCAGATTTCTTAGACACCATTTTCCAGTATTTTACAGGGTCGGTCAGTTGTCTGGAAGCTGGAATATTCTCTTCCAAGAATTAAAAAGGAAGTTTTTAGATTATGAAATATTATAATAAAAAGCTATATTTCTGACTAATGTGTTACTGTGTTTTGTCTGAAATGTTTCTGGGAAGCCAAGTATGCTGATCCATTAATAGGGAACAAAGAGAATAAGCTGTTTATTGTACATATAATCAGCAGGATCTTGTATCTTTAAGCTTCTTAAGAACTTAGCTTGATCGTTTTTGTTTATCATAATGTCTATATCTCAACATTCTTTTTACATATGTTCCCACTGAGAAATCCTCATTACAAGCTCATTTGGCACTTTTCTCCCATCTTTCTTCATAACTACAAGTAATTTTCCTACACTGTATTTTTAAACTTGTCAACTCTTAGCAAAAAAGCACAAAGAGATTTCACAGTATACATCCCGACCTATATATGTTATACATCCTAGTCATTGCAAGGCCCAGAAAGTAACCAGGGCAGATAACAGGAAGAGGTATGTCACTGGTAGAATTACTCAACCATTGGTCTTTTAAGAACCATGGAACTGGGGAAATTTAGGAGACTCCATTTGTTCAGAAGCTATTAGAACTGTTAGGGAGATGGCCTCAGTCTGTTCTTATATGTACTTATAGTAAAGTTAATGGCTTCACCAGGTCATAATATTCTTGAGAAATAACTGTGACATTCTTGATTATCTCTGAACATTAGAAAACATAAAACATCTCAGTATCTTGATTCTGCTTAGTTGGGATCCTTGAAAAATAAACTCCAGCCCTAACTGGTTTGGCTCAGTGGATAGAGCGTCAGCCTGCGGACTGAAAGGTCCCAGGTTCGATTCCGGTCAAGGGCATGTACCTTGGTTGCAGGCACATCCCCAGTGGGGGGTGTGCAGGAGGCAGCTGATCGTTGTTTCTCTCTCATTGATGTTTCTAACTCTCTATCCCTCTCCTGTCCTCTCTGTAAAATATCAATAAAATACATATTTAAAAAAAAACTCTGGAGATGGTAGGCATGCAGGAACTTAACCACAAACCCCGGAATCATTTCAAATATTTAAATTATGGGGAACTTTAAAAATTGAATTCCTTTTTATGGAATTAAGGTGGTGAATTTTTTTTGTCCATGGTCTGTATCAGTAAAATGGATATATCTGAAAGGGCTCTTCAACCTATAGCCCCAAGATACAATGACTCTGGATTTGCAGTCATTATTATAAGACAAATGGAGTTTTTCCATTAAAGTAAACACACATAGTCAGGCCCTGCTCTCCTGCCCACACTATAATGGGAACACTGGTAAATTTAGTATATGTGGAGGCATGGTGGGATGGTGATAGAGGGCTTTGGTACCCATGCCCTGAGTGGAGTCATGATTACTGTCCTCAAATACCTGAAGGGCTGTCACATGTAAGAATACTTATTTTGTGGTGGCTGCAAAAGACATTATTAAAATCAGTGAGTGGAAGTTCTAAAGAAGCAGAAATCAAGGCATTGAACAAAAAATGTCTCAAGTTCAACAAGGAATGGGTCACCTTTTTGTAAAGTACACCTATGTCCGCACTGCTCTTTTCTTTGTGGTAGATGGGACCCTTATTTGGGTGGGGAATTGGACTGGATTCTTCGAAGTACACAGAACTCTGAGATTCTGTCATTGGTACTGATGCTACTTTATTGTAAATGTTGGCTGCATAAAACTTAGTGTTGACGTGACAAATTGATTTAGGAGATTTTATTTCACCAACTTGAGCTATCTGGAGTGTTCTAACCAGGCACCCACAGTTATCCTCAGAGATGCTTCTGAGGTAGGCAGGGGCGAGGCAGTAACATTTCCTTCTCCTAGCAGGTACAGAAACAGCAGTTGGGAAAATGGGTGATGTGTATCTGACTGTTACCTCGGTCAGGACCATGTGCTTCTCAGCAAGCATCTCACCTCACTGAATGTGGTTCCAGTGTTTAAAGAGAAATTGCCTTTTGTTGTTGTTTTTTGTTACAACCTAGCTCCTGAGTGCAAGCCAACCATTTCATCTGGTGTTCAGTTGAGTCAACAGCAATTCTGTCCAACAATGGGGGAGAACTTGGCAACACTGGGCTTAATAAGAGATGGTGTGCGGTGTGTGAGGCTCCAAAAGCATGCCTTCCTCAGGCATTTTTTTCAGGTAGATCTAATTCTGCTAAACTTCTGCCTTTCTTCCGACAATATGTGAGGTCACCATACTTTATAATGAAGGTGGGGCTTATAGTGATGTGAAGAGTTGCCCAGGGCCCAGGAGATTCTTCATGACAGGTAGGCCAAGGGCAAGAACCAGAATATTGTCTTCCTGCATCTCAGCCATTGCTTTTTAAAAAAATATATATTTTATTAATTTTTTACAGAGAGGAAGGGAGAGGGATAGAGAGAAACATCGATGAGAGAGAAACATTGATCAGCTGCCTCCTGCACACCCCCTACTGGGGGTGTACCTGCAACCAAGGTACATGCCCTTGATCGGAATCGAACCTGGGACCCTTCAGTCCGCAGGCCAATGCTCTATCCACTGAGCAAAACCGGTTAGGGCCAGCCAGTGCTTTTTGCACAACATTGAGCCACTTTCTTGACAAGATTCCCAGAAAATGGTCCTAAATGTACGCATCCGTTGATGATACAATGGCTCTCATTGTCCTAAAATTCAGTTTAATATTTATTATCAATTATTGTACCTATTTAATGCAAGCCACTATGGGGACTACAAATGTCACCAGTCTGTCATCTCCAGACACCCCCCCCCAGCTTATAGTGGTGTCACCCCAGTTTGCCAAGGAATTCCCACATTTCAGATCTAAGTGTGTTAGAGTTTAATGCACATTTTTGGACACTTCAGATTGGTAGAGAGGCACTGCATTCACCTTGGTCAGATCTATCATAGAGGAACAGAAAGCTGACTATCTGTCTCAGCTCCTTTTTGTTCAAGACAGAGTGGCCATTCCCCGCATTCTCAGGAGTGCACCACTTTTTTGTTAATCCCTATTCAAGTCAGTCTGTAACTTGACATCATAGCCAAAATTTCTTATATAATCCTAAACACAAAGGGCTGGTGGAGGGAACTGGGAAGCTTATAATGTGAGGGGCACCCTAGCCTAAACAAAGGCGCTCACAGCGGGGTAAGGGCAAAGTGTGGGCACACAGTTAGTTACTGGGAGGCAGAACAGAGCCCAGAGCTTGCCCGTGGGCTCAGGCTCTGGCCTGCCTCGCCCACCTCCTCCAGCTCCACACCTATGACTCCCTCCTCTCCAGCCTCTGGCTTCCTTTCTGAGCATCACTAACAGCCTGTGCTCTCCCCCAACACAGCTATTCTGCCTGGAATGCCCTTCCCTTTCTTCCTCACCTGGTTAATTTCTACTCAGCCTTCAGATTTCAGGTCAACTGTCACTTCCCCAAGGCAGCCTCATAACTCTTAGAATAGCATGTACCTTTTCACTGCCACAATGATCCCAGGTGCCCCTTTAGCTCTAACAGTGGTGTGATTCCTTGACTCATATCTGCCTCCCCACTAGCCTGTCATTTCCATGAAAAGGGACCATATCTGTATCTTTTAGCCCCAGTATGTCCCCAGTGTCAGGTGCAGTGCCTTGCACAGAGTGGGTCTTCGCTTAAGTATTGGTGGAACATGCAAACATCAGTAGCCTCAGGTACATTAAAAAAGGAAATAACAATGAGAAGTTGATTTTCTTCCAGCTGGGGCGGATCCATGAGGGAATGGTGTTTGAAGAATGAGTAATATTGAGGGTAACAGAAGAGAGAAGAGCATTTTAGGTGGTCTCAGCACAGCCACAGAGGTAGAAAGCACAGGACCAGTGATGCCTGGGAAGTAAGAATATTTCACCTTGTGTGGCCATGTGTTTGCATCTGTCTCCCCATCTCGAGGGTGAGCATATCCGCTCCGCACCTACCCTGTAGTGCTGTGTCCTCTCCTATCTTGATGTCCAGCACCTAGCACCAGACCTGTTGCTATCCTGCCACTGGGGACGGATCATGAAGGACGGGGTTATCCCTGGAGCCTGGGAGGGGCTCAGCTTGCCAGTGAGGGACAAGGAGCTCCAGCTAATGAAGAGAAGGCAGATCATTGGAGCAAACCCTGTAAGGGCCTTGCAGCTAGTGCTGGAGCACATGGACTGGCAAGTCGCCCCTCTCAGTAGATATTTTGAAATTCTCCTTCTTTTAACCTGCATCGACAGTAGGATGGAAAATATATGGCATTCCCTTCTTTGAATCCATGGGAAATATTGCTAATTGGCATGATTCTCTTGCCTGATGAATGTAAACATGGCCTCAGAATTCTTTTCAGCACAGTCATTACCAGTGGTGATAGACAGAATAATATCCCCATTGGAATGTCTTTGTCCTAATTTCCCAAACCTGTGAGTATGTTAGGTTACATGACAAAAGGTAATTAAGGTTCCAGATGGAGTTAAGGTTTCTAATCAGACAATCTAAAAAAAAATAAAGAAATTATGCTGGATTTTCTGGGTGGGCCCAGTGTAATCATAAGAGTCCTTAAATGTGGAAGAGAGAGGCAGGGGTGTCCGGGTCAGAGTGACGTGATGTGCGTAAGGCTCGACCTACCACTGTTGTCTTTGGAGGCGGGAACACAAGCCGAGGGTGTGGGCAGCCTCTAGGACAGTGATGGCGAACCTTTCGAGCTCAGCGTGTCAGCATTTTGAAAAACCCTAACTTAACTCTGGTGCCGTGTCACATATAGAAATTTTTTGATATTTGCAACCATAGTAAAACAAAGACTTATATTTTTGATATTTATTTTATATATTTAAATGCCATTTAACAAAGAAAAATCAACCAAATAAATGAGTTCATATGTCACCTCTGACACGCGTGTCATAGGTTCGCCGTCACTGCTCTAGGAGCTGGAAAAGGCAAGAAAACAATTCTCCCAGAACTTCCAGAAAGAAATGCAGTCCTGCTGACACCTTGATGTTAGCCAGGGAAAACCCACTTTGAATTTTGAAACTATAGAATTTTAAGATAATAAATATGTATTGGGTTATGCCACTACATTTTTGGTTATTTGTCACAACATCCATAGGAGACTAA